AAGGAAGGAAGGAAGGAAGGAAGGAAGGAAGGAAGGAAGGAAGGAAGGAAGGAATTTCTAGTTTAAATTCTAGCGCCTCAGAGCATCCTGACTGTGCCCCTCCACTGGGGATTTGATGATTGCTATTGCTCTTCTGGGCCACATAGGTGGTAGCCAAGCCTTGGGTTATTGAGTTGCTGCTTTTGGTACAAAGCCCCCTCTTTGTATTCTAGAACCTTTGACTCTACGGTGACTATTCTTGCTTTCGGCATGTTAGTGTCCATTGACTGTCAGAGCTCACTTGTGGTTTGGGGTTAGGGTTAGTGTGGAGCTGTTGCCTAGCATGCATGAAACCCCTGTTCTGTCCCCAGTACTGTGAAGGAGTTCAGGGTCTGATTTGTATCCTGAAGAAGAGGGGCAGTGGAGGGTTTGGGGCCTTGTCTGTGAAAAGGTCCAGCCTGTTGTTCTGGTTTCTCTCTCCTTTGTTGCCAGATGAATATCACATGAGTAGCCAGAAGGCATTTGGGATGTTTTAGAGGGGTTCAGGCTGGGCTGGGCCTTGTGAGACTGTGGAAGCCGAGCTGAGGAAGGCTGCTGTCTGACCCTGCTTTGACCTCTCCTTTGTGCAGCTACTAATCCAGAAAAAGCCCTGCCAGAGGCCCTTAGGCTGTACCTGTTTTCTCTGTAGAGTCTGGCCTGTCAGAGAGCTGCAAACAGCCTGTTGGGCTCAGGAAAGGCTGTTTTCCACAGCCTTATGACATGAGGTAAAACTTGAGTTAGACAAACTATATCTTAAATTCCCCTTCCCCAAGAATTATGAGTTGAAGTCTTGATTCCTCATCTGAGCTGTGCGCAGCTGTCGGGTATTTGGCTCCTTATAAAGCTTTGAGGAAAGTCAAATGTATTAAACATTCTTCCATCTTGAAGAGGCCGGATTAGCCAGCCTCCCCATGAGAACATTCCTCTCCGCCTTGTGTAAGCCAGCTCCCGGAAGCAGCCCAGTGCATCTGTGACTGTTTTGTCACCAATTATAGGTTGCAGGGCATTTTTTTCTACATAGCCGTCATAGTGACAACTAGTGCTTTAGGACTTTGTGGCCTTTTGACATCTTCAGTTTCTCAATCAAACAACCTCATTTGCTGGCAAATTGGACTATGCTGGTTGCCCCCCTCCCCATTCTACAGGGAATCATGCCAAAAGAAATGTGGGAAAAATCTAATCCCTATTGAAAATATGGAGCCTACTTAGAGCAGGTAGATGGTGTGCCATGGAGGGTACTCAGAAACCTCATGATATGTGCCCAAGTAGGGAGCCTTCCATGAAATCTCCAAAAATTATTTTCTTTTCCCATGTTATAATCATAGCCTAGATAAATAGAATTTTCCAATATGAACTGTCTGTATTTTTGGCTGACTTAGGTTTAAACAGCCAGGCAGCATCACAGAGAACACCCTGCATGCTCCACATGCACACCCACTGAGGGCCTCAACGCATAAGAGAATATTCTAGAACCAGCTAGTGACTTGGCATCTGCAGGCCTGGCTCAGACAGGAACAGCAGTGCTTGGGTATACTCTATACTCTAGCATTTTAGGATTGTGCAAAAGACTTGAATAACATATTTGAAATTTAAGAGAAATGTGGGACCCACCGTGTACTGGTTGGGAAGAGAAACTCCTTACCTTCCTAAGTTAAGTCACTGGGGACTTGCAAATTTAACTGATAAAAGTCAAATTGACAAGAGAGGGGTAGAAATTTTATTGATGTTGTATGTGTCTGGTGCTCACAAAAAAAGCAAAGCAACAGAACTCAAGAACTAGTTGAGCCAGGCGTGGTGGTGCATGCCTTTAATCCCAGCACTCGGGAGGCAGAGGCAGGCGGATCTCTGTGAGTTCAAGGCCAGCCTGATCTACATAGTGAGTTCCAGGACAGCTGGGGCTACAGGGAGACCCTGTCTCTAAAAGACCAAA